GCCCTAAGGAGTGTTTAGAATTACAAAAGTTCTGTTAGCACTACTGACACTAAAAGGTTTCTGGTTAAAGATTTTCCTGGAGGCTGCTAGAATTCTGGCTTCAGATTGACTCACACTTCTAAATTGTAGTAATAACAACCCCTCGCCTTTGTTCCCATGGCCCCGGAGGTGGCAGCAGTGGGCAGTCGCTACCTCTCAGATGCCTTTCCAGGGTGTAGCAACCACTTTGCACGTAGCTCACAGCTCGTTACACTGAATTCTCTTTTGTAATATCAGGAGAGGTTTCTGTCTCCTGATGCACCTCAAGTGCCAGACCTCCGCCTCACGTCGAGCACGAATTCTTTGTTTTAGAAGGGTCAGTACAAGGCTGGTCCCTGTGAGGCGGAGGTTAAGATGTCCCCAAGTGCTGCACCACTCCATCATCTCTAAAGTCCACTACGCCTTCCCTCAGTCCTCTGCTCATCTCTGGGCTCTAATTCGCTGCAGCATCTTCATGAAGGGTTAATGAAATCACAGCAGGCAACAGCACAGGCCAACTTCTCTGCAGATACACAGACCCCGCCAACAATACACGGAAGGCTCAAAGCACAGAGCAGGGTGCTGTGACCCGGCCAGTGAATGGCTGACAACGGAAGGTGGATGTGGGTATCATTACTGAATATCAGCATACTGGCAAGGGAGCTGACCTACCTTACATCACTTATAACCCACATAATGAACCCAAAATAAAACACGGATGCCAGGCCACCACCTTATGACAGACCAAGATCCCTAAACCAAGAGTGATAGTTTAGGAAAAAAATAGAAAAGGTTACCCAATCATAATTTTAGTCCTTTGTTTTTACTTTAACCACAGCATGCAATTTACTCCTGCATACCTGCTCCAGTGATTGTAACTGGCATGTTGAAAGACCCTCACTCAGCAATGAATCAGCACTTGTCAAAATGGTATGAAAAGCACCTATTAACTGTATTTCTTTGGATTTCGTCCTGTTTACAGCTGGTGCTTGCAGCCAATTCCCCACTATCCACTTTCTTTTCTGATACTCACAATAAAAATTCTCTGCTGTAGAAGGCTTTGGTGAAAAATTATTTCTCTGCAATGATCTCACAGAATTCATGAACCACCAAGGAAAAGGCTCATGCAATTGTGGAGAGTGGCAGGTCCCAAATTCATGGGACAGGTGTCTGTCCATAGGATGCTCCTCCCTCACATGGTTGCAAGGGCTGATGAACCCAAATTGTAGGCCAGACGACAGGCTGCTGCCGCCCAAGGCTGTGGGAGCTGGGGAATCAGGGCAGACAGCAGGCTGCTGGTTCGAGTCCCAAGACCCAGAGGTCAGATGATGAGCCAGACACAGGATCTAGGGCAAGAGAGAGACGTTGCCAGAGCGTTCACGTCCATTGGGTGCAGACCACAGCCTCAGGGAAACTAAGGCTGCTGATCTGAATCACACCCTCCAGTAATACATCTGACCCTAATCCTGTCTCATGAACACAGTGGACAATGCACTGCAGAAAGAGACCATAACCGCAGGCATGGAGCCTGGGGTTCACAACACATCACAACGTGGAGGACCATGGCTGGAAGGGCCGTACTCAGTGATTCACCGCCCCACGACTCATATGCATGCGCCGTCCTCAGGGGCCACCTCTGGTGTTCCATCAAGATGCCCTCCTCTGGACGCCAGTCCTGCTCTTTGGGCCCACTCTCCCACTTTAAAGCAGGAACGTGAGATTCATAAAAGACCCTGAAGTAGGAACAGTCCTTTTTTCATGAAGGAGCCCACAGGGCCGTCTTCCAGAGCTAGAGGGTGCGGGGACTTCCGGGCTCCCAGGCCGGGGTGAAGTCCGGCATCGCTGGGGTGGCCCTGCTGTGTAATCTGATCTGTCGTGCAGAGCCCACGGGCTGGGTACAGGGGTCCCGAGCCGGCCCTGGACCCGGACTCGGGGGGTGTCCCGTGTGCATGCCGAAGGGGGGCGGGGGGCGAGCCTGCACGTGATGTGGGGCGCCAGGCCTCGGGTCTTCGGGCCCAGCAGGAGCAAGGGACGGACGGACAGGCGGCCGTGAATCCCGAAGCACCCCGGCCGCTGACTCAACGCTGAAGCCGGTGGAATCGTCAGGCAACCTGGGACCCTGGGAAACCTGAGACCAGACCGAATGCCCGACAACGGACCCGATGCCCACGGGCTCGGCGGACCCACCAGGATGGCACACATTCCGACCGCTACCTCTCACCGAGCCGCCGGTGCCGCGCCCACCGCCCGCCGCGTTCCCGGAGCCGTTCCGCCAGGTTACCTGGTCCGCGAGCTCGGCCCAACCACTCCCGGCCGCCGCGTCTCCGGAGCCCGCCCAGGCGGCAGCAGGCTCCGCCCACACCGCGCCTCCTCCCCGGTTTCAGCACGGCCTCTTCTCAGTCCCACCTCTAGGACGGCCCCTTTCTAGGTTCCCATCCTGCCCCGCCCAGGCTGCAGTAGGCCCCGCCCACGCCCCGCCTCCTCCCAGTTCCAGCAGGCCCCGCCCCAGTCCCACCTCCAGCACGGCCCCTTTCTAGGTTCCCATCCTGCCCCGCCCAGGCTGTAGCAGCCCCGCCCACACCCCCGGTTCCAGCACTGCCCCCTCCTCCTAGGCCCCGCCCGGTCTCTAACTGGCCCCACCACACCCCACCTCCTCCGGTTCCAGCCCCGCCCCAGCTGCAGGCCCCGCCCCCGCCCAGGCTCAAGCTCCGCTGGTCCTCAGGTCCGCCCAGCAAAAGCGCCAGGGGGAAAGTCTAGGACAGCATGGAGGGCTGTCCTCTCGGTGCTTGGTTGTCAGGTCTGCACAGGGGTGGCTCTCAAGGGCACGCTTCCAAAGCACAGAGGAGAACCTGCCAACACCAGGCAAAACTCCTCGAGCCCCACTCCTCCTGGCAGCCCAGGAGGTGGACGTCCCCTCCCCTGGCTGCTGGGGTTAAGGCAACCCCAACTCCAGGCAGAGCCATACCCTCCAACTGCAACCACCATCTGCCCCTCCAGCCTCGTGGACACCCCACGGGACCCCACTCAACCCTCCTACTGTTAGCATTAATTCTGCATCCCCACATCCTTGTAAATGTTCTTGTCTCAACTCTTCTGCCCATGGGTCTGTGACAATCTGGGAGTCAGCCCAGATGTCATGTCCTCTGGGGACGTCTAAGGACTCGGCATCGGACTGGGTAGCTATGACGCCTGAGGTCTCACCTCTGGATGTGTGTGTGGGGTGGTCCCGTAGTGGAGCAAGCTTGTGTGAACAGAGGGTGAGACGCTTGCCTGAGGGACAAGCAGTCTGGAGGCAGAGCCGTTCTGACCACTCCCGTCTCATGAAGTGCTCGGGGAGAACCAGGCACCACGAAGCAGCCAGCGCTGACCTCACCCCGAGCCACTGTCCCCCAGAATGGGGAAGTTGAGGTGCTTGGTGGTGAGGGCCCTGGGAGTGCAGCCTGGGGAAGGGGGCCTTGTGAAGGCGCAGGGACGCCCTAGCGTAGCCTCAGGGTCCACACCTGGCCCTGTGTTTAGAGCTCTGGCCTGTCTCAGAGGATAAGCCCTGCTCACCTCTGGGCTGTGTCCATCTCTGTAACACAAACAGTCCTACCTTCCCACAGCCGGCTGGGGCTGCTGACATGTGTAGCCCAGGCAGATGCTGCAATGTGGCCAGCCTGCTTCTGTCTCTACTTCACAGGCCAGACACAGGGCCCTCGAGGTGGCCAGACCCGGGTCCAGCACCGAGGTCCCGGCAAAAAGAACTTGGAGATGAGGTTTGCAGAGGTACAGCCTCTAACACGGCAACCTAGGGGGTGGGGTCGGGGTCCCCAATCTGTCCAGGAGGGGCCAGCTGGGCAGGAAGGCACTGCACCAGCACCTCCGTGGCCACGCGGGCCACTGGCTGGCGTGAAGCCTCAGGGTCAGCCCAGCTGAGCTCTTCCTGCCTGGGCCTGGAGTTCTGACTGCGGCATCCCTCGCTTCCAACAGCTGGGTTTCCCTCGGACCCCAGCAAGGCACGGCAGTCCTGGCAGGTCAACACTGACACCTGCTGAGATGAGTCACCCTGTGCCCCAACCTTCCCTGCAGGAGGCACCTCCACCTGCTGGCCTCCAGGCAGCCACACGTACAGGAGAGTGCGCCACGTGCAGGAGCTGCCGCATGCAGAATGGACTAGAAGCAGGAGGGTCCCACGTCCATGAGGGAGCCCTACCTTAAGAGGAGCTGTGGCCTGGGAGCAGGGCATAGGCCCTGCCAGGCCAGGCCCTCCCTGGAAGCCTTGGGTACCCTGGCCAAGACAGGACACCTGCAGGTCCCCTCCACATCCCTCCTCAGGCTGCCCACTGGGCCCCAGGGGGCAAGAGTGGCCTCCGCAGCAGGCCTGCCCGACAAGCCCCGCCACTCCTCTCCCATAAGGGCAGGAGCCAGCACTCCTTCCAGCAGCCAGAAAGGGTTTATTGGGGACACGGGGCACGCAGAACTGGGGGGCCGTGCGGAGGGCAGAAGCCCCTGCTACTCCCGGTAGTGGACCCTCTGGTGCTGGATGAGCTGGGAGCTCTGGCCGAAGGCCTTGCCGCAGGCGCTGCAGGCGAAGGGCTTCTCACCCGTGTGGGTCCGCAGGTGCCGGAAGAAGTGGGAGCGGCCGCGGAAGGCCTTGCCGCACTGGCCGCACTCGTAGGGCTTCTCGCCCGTGTGGATACGCTGGTGCTCAATGAGCACCGAGCTCCAGATGAAAGCCCGGCCGCACTGGCTGCAGGCGTAGGGCTTCTCGCCCGTGTGCAGTCGCTGGTGCCGCACCAGGTTGGAGCTCTGGCTGAAGGCCTGGCCGCACTCGCCGCACTTGTAGGGCTTCTCGCCGTTGTGGATGCGCAGGTGCTGCGTGAAGTGGGAGCTGTGGCTGAAGGCCTTGCCGCACTGGCCGCACTCGTAGGGCTTCTCGCCCGTGTGGATGCGGTGGTGCTGGATGAAGCCAGACCAGCCGCGGAAGCGCTTGCCGCACTCGTGGCAGGCGTAGGGCTTCTCGCCCGTGTGGATGCGCTGGTGCTTCAGCAGGAGCGAGTTGTACTTGAAGCTCTTGCCGCAGGTCTCACAGCGGTGCAGCTTCCCGCCCCGCGCACTGCCTAGGTCGGGGCCACTGCCAGTCCCTGGGGCGCCCTGGGGCACGAGGGTCATGCGCCAGGCACCCCTCTTCTGCATACAGGGTCCAGCTCCTGGTGGTGGGCCTGTGGGCCGCTCTAAACTGGTCTCTGGCCCAAAGCTGTCCCCACACTTGGCTGTCCGGGGAAGGGCCCTCAGCAGGCTCTTAAGCACCCCTGCGTCCTGGACAACCCCGACTTCAGGAGTATCTGGCTGGGGAGACGGGGGCGTTTTCTTGGGTTCCAGCTTGGATTCTGCAACGAGAAAGGGAGTGGCAGACAGCACGCATCCACCCAGCGCGTGTCTGTGGGGTGCCTGCTGCGTAACTCTGGTGTGGGGGCTAGCAGCCGGGGCTCAGCATCTACCTGTCGGGTGGAGGGGTGAGAAGAGGCCCCTATTTGCGTGGAAGAGCCAGGAGGCCAGCTCATTCAATTAGGGGAGGCAGGGCATCGGTCACCCAGAGGTAGGAAAGGATGTGCTGGGTCCCCCAGTCAGGTCTCTCTTGTACACTCCTGCCCAATCCTGATGGCAAACGTACAAGAAGCCAGGGGGCAGACCATGCTGGGTACGGGTCACGGGATGGGCTGTGCTAGGGAAGACTGGGGTGGGCTGTGCTGGGTACCAGTCGGGGTGGGCTGTGCTGGGTATACCAGTCAGGGGTGGATGGTGCTGGGTACTGGTGAGGGGGTGGGCTGTAAAGAGGAAAAGCTAGAGGAGGACTGTGTTGGGTATTGGTTGTGGGGGAATGTGCTGGTTAGTGGTGGCTACCAGTCAGTTAGGGGGTGGGCTGTACTAGGTACCAGTCAGGGGTGGATGGTGCTGGGTACTGGTTAGGGAGTGGCTGTAATGAGGGAAAGCTAGGGGGGGATTGTGTTGGGCACTGGTTGTGGGGGACTGTGCTGGTTAGTTAGTGGTGAACATGAGTCAGGGAGTGCACTATGCTGGGTGCCAGTCGGGGGTGGCAGTCATGAGTCACCTGGTTCACTGCCCAGAATCCCCAGCTGGCAGCTCGAAGCTGTCCCCCTGGGAACTGCCCCAGACCAGGGGTTCTGCTGGAGTGGGAAGCTGCCCTACGGGGATACTTAACAAGGGCTAGAGATGGTTGGGTTGTCATACCTGGGGGAGGGGACAGTACTGGCATCAAGCAGGGACAGCCAGGGATGCTGTTAAACACCCGGCAGTGCACAGCATGACCCTGTCACAAATACTCAGAGAGACAAAACACCAACAGAGCTGCCGGGAAACCCCGTCTGGAGGGGCTTTCTTGCTTAGGCTCTAGCCCTGCCTAGGAGCAGCCCAGACCCGATGACTGAGAGGCCCACAGGCCCAGCCACCACGCCTCGGTGGGGACTTTCCCGCTCCAAAGCTCCCCCTGGGACTGGCCAGAGCCTCATGGCACCTGCGCTGAAGCCCAGCTCCTCCCGCCCAGGCCCCCCCTAAGTGCAGGCCCAGTAACCATCCTGATGTAAAGCTCCTTCTAGGACCCTGAGAGCCCTGGCCTCCACCATCTCCCAGCTGGTGGGTGGGGAGCTCGGTACAACAAAGTCCCACCGATATTTCCTAGATGCTGACTGCATGTCGCGCTAGGACACAAGGTGGCACCCTGAAGGCCTCCAATCAGGAGAGGGTGTGTGTGGCAGGGAGAACAGTGAGCAGCTGAGGGCCTGGATTAAGGCAGTCCCAGCAGGCAACGCAAGAAGGGGGCAGGGCTGGCAGAACCAGGGTGTGTGGTACAGGGGGAGGGAGTGCACCATGGTGCCACCAGCCACCCATCTCAGCCAGAGGGGTGGAGAAGGATGAGGAATTCGGGCTTGCACATGTCCAGCGTGGGGCTGTGGAAGTCCACGGGAAGCCATCCTGAGGCAAGTGGCTGTGAGGGTCTGGGGTTTATGGAACGGGTCTGGACTGCAGCCACAGCCTCAGGGGAAGTGGACTGGGGACAGGAGTGGGGCAGGGGTCCCAGGCAGTCCCGGCACAGGGTGAGCTTTTGGCATGTCAGCTACATGGCAGCACTCATCCCCCATCCCCCTGGGGTTCCCCTCACTCACCAGGCCAACAGGTGTGTCTCCCGACCTCGACTTCTTGGATGTCTTGGGGATCCAGGTCTGACGACAGCTCCTCTTCCAGCTGTGGCTGGGGGAGCATCTCAGGGCTGGAGCCGGGGGAATCTGGGGGCGGGACAGGGAGGTTATGGCCCATCTCCCCCCAGGTGCCCCCACATCCGGTGCAGGCCCTCTCCCATGACACCAGTCTTGGGCCCCCCTGCGCCCCCCTGCTGCACCTGGTCCCCCGCATCCGCCAGTCGCGGGGGCCGCTGTCCTGGACCCTCCTTCCTGCCCGCTCGGGACCTCACTTCTCCGGCTGCTGCCCCTCGGCGGCTCAGCAGAGACAGGAGCCCGGGCAGCTCTAGAAGGGCCTGGTTCACTGCCCCGTAGGTCTGCCTCTGGCCCCTCGGTCAGCGTGTGCGGCCTGCCTGCCCTGCCCTTACCCAGGCCACAGAGAGGCCAGCCCAGGCTCCGGGGAGCAGAGGGCAAAGCTCAGCCAACTCCCCTCTGGATCCCGGAACGTGCTGCGGGTCGGGGGAGATGGGGCAACCATGGCTCTGGCTGGAAGGCCAGTCACACAGCTTGGAGGGACAGCGTGGGCCGTGCCCAGCCAGCCCTGCCCCTCCTCCCAGGCACAGGTGCCCTGACCTGAGGGCCAGGGACTCTCTACCCCACAGTGCACGACTGAGTTCCCCCGTGTCATCTTAACATTGAAAGGAGCACGGCGCCCGTGTGGAGAAGGCACGGTACAGGTGGGCTGGGGGCTGCCTGCACCTCCCTGGTCCGGGCTCCTCTGCCTGTGCAGACGGTGGGATGGGCAGTCAGCTCAGGCCTGTCCGGGGGGTCTGACCTCTTTCCTCAAGGCTCTCTCCTCAAGCCTGGGAAAATGGAATCCCAGCATCTCTGCGGGCCACACCCTACTCCTGAGCCCTGACGTCCCCTTCAGGGGAGCACAGCCCTCAGGAGCCCTGCTGTGGCCCCTCACTGCTCTTGGTCCTGCTCTCAGCATGGGGCAAGGCCCAGGCTACCCCAGGCCTGAGTGTGCAGGACCCCGAGGCAGCCTGCTGTGTGCCCTGCCCACCCTGCTGCATCTCTGGCCGTCTGCTCAGGAAGCTAGGCTGCGGGGACCACTACAGCAGGAGCCCCGGTGGGAGCCCTCTGACCACAGTGTGGTGCTGGGTGGCCGGCTGGGGGCCAGTAGGTGCCGGACGGACGGTACAACTTCCTGAACCCCCACCCCACTAGGGTCAAGAAAGGGATGGGGAGTCCCCTGGCTGCTGGGAGGCCATGGGGGACCCCAGTCCGAGGCAAGGGCTCCGAGGGGCTGCTCAGCCGCACGCGGCAGCCAGGGGAGCAGCCTAAACTGGAAGCCACCTCTGGTCTCCTGGAGGTCTGCCCACCAGGGAGGCCTCGTCCCTGCTGTCACCGGCTCATGTGCCAGGCTAGGCACCATGTCAGGGGCATGAGGATTCTGGCTGGGAGGGGGTTGAGGCCAGGCCTCCCAGGGAGGTGCAGCACAGACGCCCCAAGAGCAAGCGGGGCTGGCAGTACCACGAGGCCACTCCCACCCCCACACTCGACACCCCAGACCCTGCCACTCTGCCAGGTGACCACCCAGGGTGCCGCGAGCCACCAGAGCTGCTGGAAGGCACCCTGGGGTCTCAGCCTGGCAAGAACTCTGGAGACTTTCCATTTGCCCAGCCTGGAAACCAAAGTCCCTTAGTTGACTTGTCCCAAGAGGCCAAGTGGCTAGGGTCAGGGAGCGTGGGCAGCAGGGTGAGTACCGTGTGGGGGATTATGGAGGTGAAGAAGGGCCTCGTGGGGGCGGTGGGCTGCAGCAGGTGTCCCCAGCAATGACTCAGTGACAGGGGGAGGGTCCGGAAGGGCCTCTTGATTGTCCTCTAGGGCTGCCATCTTCTGTGAGGCCTCCTAAAGGTATGCAGACCTGGGAAAAACGAAAACCATGGCAGGGTGAGGGGCTGGGGGGCTAGGCCTGGAGCATCGCAGGGTGACATGGGTTCATTCACCCTCCAGGCAACGGATGCCAAGGTGTGGGGACGGCTGAAGCCTGAGGACCTGGTGTACTCAGTACCAAGCAGGTGCAACCAGTGGCCGCCCCGTGAAGAGCAACTGTGGACTCACAAGGACTGACCCAAAGCCCTGGTCCCAGCACACAAGCTAGATGGTCCTCCCAATCACAACGTCACCCACCCAGAAAAACCTCTTGAACCACAGCTGGGGCCCTGGGGGCCTGATCCAAGCCCCACACAGGGCTCTGCCCACAGCGTCCGGACTCATTTGGGGTCACTTTTCCTTAGTCTGCCTGGCCAGGATGAGTCCGGTCTGAGAAGCGTTTTATCCTTTCATACAGTGACAGGTAGAAACTCTACTTGGCGTGAGAAGGGGGTAGGGAAAGACAAGTTTACTGGCGTCCGCAAACCCTGCAGACCAAACCTTCGAGAAAGGCAGCGGGCACCCTAGCAGTGGCACACCCGTGTCGCCCGCCTCGGGTCGGCCCCTTGGCTGGCCTCATCCCCCTTGCCGGGCAGGGCCGGGGGCAGCGTGAGAGGGCGGACCTGCAGGAGTGGAAGCTGGACCCTGACCGCCTGAGCTGCCTCGGAAGCTAACTTACTGCGGACTCAGCTTCCTCCTCCGAACGAGGGGGGCGCTCACCCCTATCCTCGCTGTCTGAGGGGCGGGGAGGGGCTCAGGGGGACGCCCCCTCAGCTCCTAGGGCTGCAGACCCCCGCTCTGAGCTCAGGTTCCGGCCCCGCCGCTGCAAGAGCCGGCCGGGGTAGGAGCGCCAGCGCCACCACCAGGCCAGGAGCGCACACGCCTCCGCCGGTCTTCCCGGGCTGGGAGATGGGCAATCGTGGGCAGCGTGCGGCACACAGCGGTGGGCTCGCACCGGGGACCTCTCTGCGCCCGATCGCGATCAGCAATGCGGGAGTGGCGATGACTCCCGTCCCTGGGGCTCGGGGCGCGGAGAAGCGCCCCGCGAACGGAAACCCCGCGATGGCAAAGGGCCGCTGTGTCGACGGCTGCAGGAGCGGGCGGCCCGCGGCTCTCGCGACCCCAAGGCCGCTCCTCTCCGCTCTGGGGAGCAGGACCGGAGCTCGAGCCCGAGGTCACGGCGGGGGCGACTGCCGGGGACCCCTCACGAGCGCGAGCCCGGGCGCCGGCGCCCACTCACCTTCGAGCCAGGAGGGGGCTGCCGCGCGCCGGCAGGAAGTGCCTGTCCCGCGCCCTCCACCGCACGTCTTGGCGCGTGCGCACTTCCGGGACGCTCTTGTCCTCTCTAGGCGCCCGGAGGACCGCGCTCCTCGCTGGCCGAGGTAGCGGGCAAGCTGACCAGCCGTCTCCCAGGGTTCGCAGCTCCCGGTGGCGTCACTAGGGCTGGAGTCACTCAGTGCAGTGGACCTGCTCCCGTAGCAGACCAGACAGAATCCTTAGCAATTGCTGCTTCTCAAAACAACTGTTGATAGAGGTTGACAAGTACCACGCACAAGACTGTAGCTAAAACAGAAAATTTGACAGAATCAGTGGCTGTTGGTGAGCCTGCGGAAGGGCATTGCACCGTCCCCAGTATACCTTCGGAGCCAGTGGAGAAGCTGGTAGACTCGCGGTTGCGGTGTGTTACAGAGAAAGGATGCAGTTTAAAATCAGCTGCAGGAACAGGGGTGTTCTGAGGAGTCTGGAAGCAAGAGCGCGCACTGTCCTTGCCCGGCAGCGCTGCGTGTGGCGGCACGCACTGGAGCCCTGGTGCCGGGATTTTTACTGGAGTCTGTCCGGTGAGCATGGCTGACCGTCCACATGACCACGCTTAGGGTACAGCCCCTCCAGAGTGCGCATGGTACCACGTGGCTCACCGTTCGTGCAGACTGTCGTGGCCAGGGTCCCAGGTGTGCAAAGACACTTATCAGGAAGGGTGCCCCTGAGCCTTCCCATGGGAGGTGGTAAGAACCAGAAAGCAGTGGGGGCCTGGACACTGAGCCTGGGCTCCGACTGCCACTTAGGATCACAGGTTTACCTGCATCCCATCATCTGTGGGAAGGTTATTTCTTAACAAGGAAGAACAAGGTTCAGAGGTGAAGGTGGTCAGCTCCTTTCTGAGGACAAGTGTCAGAACACAGTGTGAAATGGCGGTGGGGCACAGGGTGTGACAAGATGCATGTGAGTGTGGCCACTATGCTAGCTTCTGCTCCTGCAGGCACTAACCCCATGCACACTCTTGTCCCTAACTGTGGCCTGGAGAAAACCAGCTGTGCTCTGGTGAGTGCTTTGTGAGTTGTCTGGTGCCATAGACATGTGTGCTCACTAATTAAAAGATGAGCTATGCCCTGAGTGAGGACCCTGAGGACCAAGGTTGGGTGTTTGCCTCATTCATACCATCACAGTGGGAGAGTGGGGTTGGGGCCAAGCTGTGACACTCCCTTTCATCCTCCTAGGGCTGCTGCAGAGGAACAAACTCATTGTGGTTAAACAGGAGCCATCCTCAGTCTGGTCTTCTGAGTAACAGGACACACAACTTCCTGGCATGCATGGCCCTGAGCCAGACACTATGGAGTCAGAAACAACAGATCCTCAAGGGCTATGTTCCGGAGTGAGGGTCAGTTCTGAACCAAGCCAGAGGGGCTGCAGAGTTCAACTTTACCAGCAGAAATGCCCCATTTTCTGGTGCTGGATAAGGGGTGATGGGTGTGAGACGCTGCAGCCCAAGGATTCTCTCCTGTGTCGGCCCTCTCCTCTCCTCTCTTTCCGGTACTCCCATTATGCATATGTTTGTCTGCTGAACAGTGTTCTATGTTTCTCTGAGATTCTGTTCATTTTGTTTTCAATCTCATTCTCTCTCTGTCCTTCACTCTGCATACTGTCTATCAGACTATTCAAATCTGTTCAAATGCATCAATTCTTCTTCTGTCTTTTTCACTGTCCAGCTTTCACATGCATGTGAGGCCACGGAAGAGATCATAGCCTGGGCCAGGCATGCCTTAGTCATCAAAGTGACATTTTTGTCACTTTAAATAGTTCTTTGTAGATTTGCCCAATGCAAAGTAATGCATCATTTGATTGACTTCTGTGGGTGTTGACTGTTGATCCAAGTAGAACAAAATCTTTGACAACTTCAATTTCTCTCTAAATATCACGATGTTGTTTCCTGGCACAGTTGTGAAGATTTTAATTTTCTCTGTGTTGAGGTGTAATCCATACTGAAAACTTCAGTCTGTTCTTCATCAGTAAGTGCTTCAAGTCATCTTCATTTATGGCAACTACGGTTGTGTCATCTGCATACTGCAGGTTGTTAATGAGTCTTCCTCCAAGCCTGATGTGTTCTTCATATAGTCCAGCTTCTCATATTGTTTACCCAACATACAAATTGAGTACATATGATAAAAGAATGCAACCCTAACACACACCTTTCCTGTTTTCAACCATGCAGTATTCCTTTCCTCTGTTTGGGAGACTGCCTCCTGGTCTATGTACAGGTTTTGCACGAGCACAGTTAAGTGGTCTCCAATTCCCATTCTTCACAATGTTATCCATTTGTTATGATCCACACACTGGAATACCTGTGTGTAGTCAATAAAACAGAGCTAACCACCTTTCTGCTATTCTCTGCTTCTCCGCCAAGATCCGTCTGACGCCAGCAATGGTGTCCGTCATTCTGTGTCTTTTTCTGAGTTTGGTTTGGATAGCTGGCAGTTCCCTGCTGCTGGACTGCTACAGACAGTTTTGAATTGTCTTCAGCAAAATTGTACTTGCATGTGATATTAATGACATTGTTCAATTATTTCTGTATTCTGTTGGGTCACCTTTGTTTGGAATGGGTATGAATATGGATCTCTTCCAGTCAGTTGGCCAGGTAGCTGTCTTCCAAACGTCTTGGCATAGATGAGCGATCACTTCCAGCATTGCATCTGTTTGTTAAAGCATTGCAGTTGGTATCCCATCCGTTCCTGGAGCCTTGTTTTTTGCCAATGCCTTGCTGCAGCTTGAACTTCTTTCTTTAGTACCAGTGGTTCTCAATCATCTGCTACCTCCTGAAGTTGTTGAACATCGACCAGTTCTTTCTGATGCAGTGACTCTGTGTATTCCTTTCATTTTCTTTTCATGCTTCCTGCATCATTCAATTTTGTGCCCATCGAACCTTTCAGTAACACAACTGGAGACTGAAATTTTCTCTTCGGTTTTTTCAGCTTGAGAAATGCTAAACACATTCTTCCCTGTTGGTTTTCTAGCTCTAGGCCTTTGCACATTTCATTGCAATACTTGACCTTATCCTCTGGAGCCACCTTTGAAAATTCTCTGCTCAGTGTTTTTACTTCATCATTTTTGCTTGTTTGCTTTAGCTACTCCATGGTAAGAGTAAGTTTTGGAGTCTCTTCTGACATCCATTTTGTTTTTTTCCTTCTTTCCAGTCTTTTAACTGATTGTGGTTCAGGGAATTACTTAATGTGGCCCTTCTAGTCATAGTCTTTGTAATTTCCACCAAATGACTGGGTAGGACAACACAAATGTGGTGCTTGTGGTCCACCAAGGGGATTGGGTAGCTTTCTAATAATGTAAATTAGGTGTGTGGCTCCCTTGGGGTGGGATTAGGCAAATAAGGCGCGTGGAACTCTAACAAGGGGCTTGGTCAGTTTTGCCATCCCACTAGGCTTAAAATGAGCTACCCCAGAGGAAGAAAGGGGGACCTGACTGCCATTGAGAAGAAGAGATAGGAGTGAAGTGTGCCCTTTGAAGATACGATCCCTTCACTGAGAACAACTCAGTGGACAGAACGCGAGATGTAACACTTTGCTGACACAGCAGAGACAAGAAGAAGCAGGGGCAGAGACTGGCAGCAGCAGAGCAAGGAGACTGGCAGGAGATGGCACGGTGGGCTTCCAGACCAGCTGAACGAGAAAGCTGAGTGCTTTCAGGCAGGAAGCTTGCTGGCAGTGGGGTGCTGCTGGGCACTTATCAGCCCAGCTAAAAGAGCTTTATAACACTTGCAAGACTAGGGAAGAGGCCAAGGGCCACAGGTTGAGAGGCCAATGACCAGAGCGAGGCCTGCCTACTGCTGGGAGAGGCCTGCCTGCTCCTAATCGAACAACTCTGTCCTGACTTGTCTCTGATCCTGAATTGTAACCCATTACTTCCCTAATAAACCCTGTAATTGTGAGTATGGTTGTGAGTTGTGTGGCCATTACAATGAATTACTGAACCCAGCAGAGAAGTAGAGAGTGCCATGGAAGGACAGTTGGTGTCAGAACTGGTAAAAAAGTTGGAGGGTTGCAGTGCACTGAATTACTTAGTTTGGCTTTTCTGGCCATAGTCCTTGTAACTCCCCCTGGATTACTGGGTGGGACCTTGCAAATAAGGTGTGTAGAACTCTGATGTTGGGATCAGTTAGTTTTGTCACTCTGCCAGGCTTAAAATGAGCCCTCCTAGAGGCAGAAAGGGGGATCCCACCGCCATCAAGAGAGAAGAGCCGGAGGAGAGTGGAACGTGACCTTGGACGTGCGATCCCTGTGCTGGACTTCCTTGGCTGAGAGACGCCCGCCTGAGAGAGAGATGCCCGGCTGAGAGACGGTGGCAGTGAAGCCAAGAGGCAGGAGATGGAGCGGCTGACTTTCCGGCCCATAGAGCGAGAAAGCTGAATGCCCTTGCACAGGAGGCTGGCTGGCAGAGCTAACAGAGCTTTGTACCACTTGCCAGAGAAGGGCAGGGGCCAGGCTGAGAGGCCAAGGGCCAGAGAGGCATGTCTGAGGGCATAGCAGAGGGGAGACTGTCTTTATCAAAGAATTATATCCCGAGACCATTCCTGAACCTGAATTATAGCCTGTTACTTCCCTAATAAACCCCATAATCGTGTATCGTCTGTGAGTTCTGTGTGGCCACTGAAGCGAATTATCAAACCCAGTAGAGAAGTAGTAAGTATTGTGAGAGGGATGGCTGGTGTCAGAATTGACAAAAAGGTTGGAGGGTGGTGACATGTCTGGCCTCATAGGAATTAACCTTGGGCTGCTGATGGCGATTCTGTCTCCCTCTTGTGAAGTTAGAGGAGGTTGGAAGATGCCACGTCCATGCCCTTTTTGCAAGGGTGGAGGCATGTCTGACTTCTATGTCATAGGAATCAGCCTTGGGCTGTTGATGCTGATGGTGACTGTCTCCACCCTCGTGATGTCCAAGGAGGTGAGACGCCGTCCCCACGTCATTCTTACAAGAACCTTCCACTTCCTTCATGTGTGATGCCTTTGGTATCTTCCCACAGCTCTTCTGATCTTCAGTTATTACTGGTCAAATCTGTTCTCGAGGTGGCCTCCAAGTTCTGGTTTGATGGCTTCAAGGTCATGTTCTGGCTCTCATGGTCTTGTTTCAATTTTCTTCAGCTTCAACTTGAACTTGCACATAAGAATTGATGGCCTGTTCTCAGTTGGCCCCTGACTTTGACTAATGATATTGACTCCCAAGAAGGCCGCTGCTCTGGGTCATGACCACATGGAATGGAGGGCCCCACCACTCTAAGGTCATGGCCACATGGAAGGAAGGGCCCCACTGCCCTGGGTCATAGCCATGTGGAAAGTGGGGCTCCCTGTGAGTCTCTGCCCTCTGACCCCACCATCTTCACTGCTGCTCCCCCTCTGCCTGGAGATAGTGCTGTGCTCTTGGCGTTGGCACTAATCACTGTAGCAGTTTTTAAAAATGGCCTCAGACACTTTGACTCTCCCCCATGACCTTGGGTGGCTTGACAGCTCTGTGACTTCCAAGGCAGGACAAAGCAGCTCTGTAGCTCTCCAAGTTCTGGGAGACTTG